CGCTGGTTCCAATCATGTGCATATTACAATCACTGGTTACAATCATGTGCATATTACATTCGCAGGTTACAATCATGTGCATGTTACAATCATGTGCCGATTACAATCACTGGTTACAATCATGTGCATATTACAATCGCTGGTTAAAATCATGTGCATATTACAATCACTGGTTACAGTCATGTTCATATTACAATCACTTGTTACAGCCATGTGCATATTACAATCACTGGTTACAGTCATGTGCATGTTACAATCATGTGCCGATTACAATCACTGGTTGCAATCATGTGCATATTACAATCACTGGTTAAAATCATGTGCATATTACAATCACTGGTTACAGTCATGTGCATGTTGCAATCATGTGCCGATTACAATCATTGGTTACAATCATTGGTTACAATCATGTGCATATTACAATCACTGGTTACAATCATGTGCATATTACAATCGCTGGTTAAAATCGTGTGCATATTACAATCACTGGTTACAGTCATGTGCATATTACAGTCACTGGTTACAACCCTGTACATATTACAATCACTGGTTACAATCATGTGCATATTACAATTACTTGTTACAATCATGTGCATGTTACAATCATGTGCATATTACAATCACTGGTTACAATCATGTGCATATTACAATCACTGGTTACAATCATGTGCATGTTACAATCACTGGTTACAATCATGTGCATATTACAATCACTGGTTACAATCCTGTGCATATTACAATCACTGGTTACAATCTGTGCATATTACAATCACTGGTTACAATCATGTGCATATTACAATCACTGGTTACAATCATGTGCATATTACAATCACTGGTTACAATCATGTGCATATTACAATGTATTGAAATGTTATTACTGCAAGAAAGATAATTGTTATTTGTTTTTCATTATTAGTATGATGCCAAGCTTTTGTCACTTCAGAAACAAAATCAAAAAGCAACACAAATGATGAGAGGGCAGTCTAATGCAGCTAACAGTGAAATATTCAGAAAGGTAAAATACTTCCTTAATTTATTTATCTATATGACTACAAACGTTTGCACTCAAATATTGATGAGAGTCAATCATGTAGCTACAGAATGGTTGATTAAGAAAGGCATTTCTCTGAAAATGTCAGTCAGTAACATGAGACATTTTTTGACCTTCATATTTTTGTCTTTTAGGAAATAAATGAACTCGTCATGATGAGTCATATCCAAGTATTTCACCCTTACAATGCAAAAATTTTGATTGATAACAATAATGCATTTGTTAAGGTGTGATACCAAAATGCATGTCTGCATTGTCACACAATTCTTGGAATCCCCAAATACAATCCTTTGTTAGTCCCCGTTCAGAATGACTGACCAGTGGCCATTTAGTTTTAATGAATGGGCTTCTAAAGCCATATGTCTGACATGCTTTGACTGACTACATGTACATGTATGTTAAAATTTTATATATTCATTATACATGTATTCAAAATGGCTGATTTTGTTTTAATTAATGCTGTTCCAGAGCAATATTTCTCAATACTTGTTTGACGATCAGATACAAATGTCAATCATTTAAATATTAAACAATTATCATCATCATATGCCTGACATGTTTATATTCCAGCTATATTACTATAAACAAAACTATATATCTTAAAATCGATAACTAATGGGGACTATGCCATGTATGGCTTGTTTTATTAAAAATTGTTTTGCATATTGCACCATGGTAAAATGTTGACATAATTCATATGTGTCCCAACTGAAGATTTATATTTGGTGGAATGTCAGTGTTCTCCACAAGCTAAAATAGCGTCGCGGCCCGCGACACTGTGTTTCCTTCGCGATTCTATTATTTATCCCGTGATAAAAATTTACAGACTGTAAAGCTTCCTGGCTAACTACAAATGCATGGTATTAACGCCAATTTCCCTGGATAATCCCCTACTGTTTCTCATTGGTTGGATATCGTTTTTAAAAAACAAAGCAGTTCTATATAAAGACAAATCCGTAAGCCCCTAGTGTCAAACACTCTTTGCCAAATGTATATTCATATGCAAATGATACAGTCACATGGTTCCAGTGTGTACGAAACGTATTTTCATTATTATTTTTAGAAACGTAATTGTACTATTATTCTAGGTTTTGATATTTGTCAGTATTTTTGATAATGTATTTGTTTTTTGAGATCAAAATGTGAAAAAATATATATTTATGATGTAAACAATTTTGACCTCATGATCATGAATTCAAGATGGCATCACCCACGTAAGATCCAGCGAGCGTGAACTTCCCACTTGGATCGCATATCGTGCTCAGATCCGGATGAATTAAGTGAAGCATTATGGAAAATAATATATTTATCAGGAATGCAGGAAATCTAATCAAGAAACGTAACACTTGGAGTGTTATTTCTTGGAGGAAAAGCCTAAATTTTTACGTGGTATAACAATGGAGACGATTCATAATTCAGACCTCTGATGTCTCTACTTGTTCACAATTGTGTTGAACAACATCGATGAAAAAAAAATGACATAAAGATGGAAAATTTCAGCCAGAAAAACTATTATTGCTCGAACCATGGATGTACATCCATGCTCGAACATACATGTAGTAACGTAAGTATCATGACTCGTAACAGTTGTACTGGTACTTAACCGGAAAACAACAGAAACGGAAGACAAGCACGGAGAATCATCAACCCAATGTTTAATTTACTGGGGTCGAACAGGGTTTTATAAAGTTGCTGATTTATGGGCCAAGCAAAGAAACAGAAATCTCAGTATTTCTGTGAGACATTTGCAATACTAAACACGCAGTGCACTTTTATTGGATATAAAAGAGTGATAGATTGTAAAATGGAAAAAAATGGTTTTGTTTTATTTACTTATCTTTTTTATGCCAAACAATATGTTAATTTATGCTAATTAATATGCAAATTAGCCACAACTCTATGGACATTTTCTGGGGAGAACACTGAATGTATTTTTCAGGTATCTGAGATGTGTTTGAGGCATTTTTGCATGAAGGCATTTCGTCATTGAAGACATCATCAATTCGTATAGTTTGTGACAGCAGCATAAATAATTCTGTGGGACATATGTGCCACTATCAACAACCTTATTCAACATATTTGTGAATGATTTACCAAGTGTTCTAATGAAAGATATAGCTGATTGCCCAATTTTGGGTAAGGAACCAATTCCATGCCATACGTATGCTGATGATATAGTCATCCTATCAAAGACTAAATCTGGACTACAAAACTCCCTTTTTAAATTACAAAACTATTGTAAAAGCTGGAAATTAAATGTTAGTGTAAAGAAAACAAAAATTCTGATTATGAACACAAAAAATTGATAATTCAGAGAGTTTCTATATTGATAATAAAAAGATACAGATTGACAATCAATTATCATATTTAGGAATCAATTTTAACTCAAATAGTAACTTCAAAACCTGCATTAAATCATTGACTCTGAAAGCACAAAAAAAGCTACTTTTCAATTAGACAACAATTCAATATTTATGCCAATACCCAAATTAACACACTATGTTATTTATTTGACAGCATGGTAAAACCAGTTTGTATATACGGGAGTGAAATTTGGGGTGCCTATACCATCAACAATTTCAAACACAAAGGAACACTCAAATCAATCACAAATGGCAATTTGGAATATGAAAAACTA